AGCTTCCCTCCGATGAGGGAAGCTAGAGAGAAGGAAGAGAGAAAGCTTCTTCTCTCGTTTTTGAGAGAAGAAGAAGAAGAAAGAAATGAGATGCTGGCCCTTCGGGCCAGCTATGAATGGGCTTAAATAGCCCTCCCCAAACGACGCCGTTTTGGGGAGGGATCTGTCCGTAATTAATAAAAAGATTAACCTCTTCCGTCATCCCTTTAGTTTGTAATCTTTACCTTTTAGTCACTGAATCAAATTTTTGATTCTTTTAATTTGGTCTCTACATTTTATTTATTTATATTTTAGCCATTAACCGTATTAATAATATATTTAAGATAAATTTCATATTTAGTCCTTTAATTTTGATAAATAATATTTTAATCCCGAGTATATATTTTTAATTTATTTTAATATGATATTCGAATTTTATATAGTTTTAAATTAGTCACTAAATTAATAAAATATGAAAATAACATGTTTAAACCCTATAATTTTGAATTAGGTTTTTTTTAATTTTAATTTTTACTATAATTTAGTCACTAATTTTAAATATTTTCATTTATTTTACCACTTTTAAATATATTGTTCTAATTGTATTTTTATTGTTTTAATTGTTTATATATTTAAATAATTTTACTATTATTATATAGTCATAAATATATATAATGAATAATAAATCATATTTTTTTTTAATAAATTATTTTTTATATATCGAAGAAAAGGACAGTCTTAATACAACTGGATGTCCTATTCTGATGTTTTAAAATTAAACAATAGTATTTAAATTAATATTTATCAAAGAAAAGAGCTGTCTTAAGGCACCTAGAAGTTCTTTTCTGATATTTTTAAATAAATAAATATTTTTTTTATATAATTTTGAAATAATAGAATAATAAATTAAATATATTTTTGATTTTTTTTAAATTTTAATAATAGAGACAATTTATAATTAAAAAGTACCAATTTTGGGCGTTGTAGGGGTGCTAATCCTTCCCTAAACGTAACCGACCACGAACCCCTTTTTATTATTAAAAAGAACAAATTTTTGGTTATAAAACGCAGATCAGTTCATCTTTTAAATATGGTTTTCTTAAAAACTATTTTAAAAGAAAATTTTTAGGTATTCGACCTACCTGATCCAAAAGGTCGATGGCGACTCACAAATTATTTTCAAAATTATTTATTAACATTAATTTCCCCACCATAAATTAATATTTCGTGCCCGGACGAAAAACGGTTACGACAATCCCTAACTACAAGCACTGAAAATTGAAATTCTTAACTTCACATTTCGTAGAATTAGCTATTCAGTTCAACTAACTTCCCAGCATCAAAATCTTATATTAAATTCAAGGCAAACACACAAGAAATGACAAGAATACTGGAGGCGGCAATAAACTAACAAATAAAATTTCTTGAAGTTGTAAAGTTTAACAAATCAATACATCCCAAATACGAAAAATCAAGCATTAAGCACACTATCCCCAGCTAAAAAAGGGGGGTCAACGAACGTAGTCGAATCAGAAGCTCTTAAACGATCCAAGAAGAACAGGAAAGAAATCGACGGTACAATCGAACACTTAGAAACTCCTAAAAAAAGGAGAGATTTTTGGAATAAGGTTATTACCAGCAACTTCGACCACAACTTCAAGGATTGATTTGGAGGCTAAGATTCTTTAATCCAAATCCAATTATTTTCTAATACGAAATGATTAAATTTGATAAATTAGGGATTGGGAAAAGGTGAGAAGAAAAGAGGCGAGGCGGCCTCTTACGTGTTTCGAGCCAGCTTATATAGGGAAGGCAGCTGACGTGGACAACCTCCGTACACTATTCTTTTAAGTCGGCGCCGTTCAGCATTCGATGGAAGATGACATATCAGCACGCGTTCTTACCTTATGGACTTCTTTTATATATGGTAAACTAATTGTTTAGTACTTAGTTCATAAATTTTTTAAAATCATTTTATTTCATTTTAGTAACTGCAGTTAAAAGTTTAATAATATATAAATCATTAATTTTTTAATTATTTTAATATATAAACTTTTAATTTTTTTAAAAAATTTAATATTAAAATTTGAATGGATACTAAACTAAAAGAAATAAAGTTTTTAATGATGGTGTACTAAGCTGAAACAAAAATTAAATTTTTGATATAATTTTGAAAAAATTACAAGTTTAGATACTAAAACAGACCAAGATTAATAATTTAGATACTAAACGTATAATTTACCCTTATATATATATATATTACATCCACGTCACTAATATTTGAAAATTTGCGCTAAAATTATTATAATTATCTATTTTCTATAAAATGTTACTGAATTATTAATTTTCATTAATGGACTATTACATGTTTTTATAACTTAATTATAATCTTAATCCTAAGTAGAATAATAAAGAAAATTTTAGAGGAAAAAAACTTCTAAATAGGTCTATAACCTATGATTTAAGAAAATATGAACGGTTTAACTACCTGATTAAATATATTTGTCCGGATTCTTACATTACATCAATTTGATTTTAAAGTTAGGAATAAAAAAATTATAAATATTTAAAAAACGTAAAAGATTAGTTGTTAAAAAATTTTAGAGAAAAAAAAACTTCTAAATAGGTCTCAACGGGTATGACTATTTTTATATATGACTAGGGGTGCTTATTGAGTGAGTCGATCGTATGTTAGACAATGTTCGATTCGCACTCGTTAAAAATATTTGTTGCTCGACTCAACTAGTTGTTCATTAAGCTCGTTAAAATTGTGGTCATTAAAAAAATTTACTGCTTAACTCGACTCGTTGCTTGTTAAGCTCGACTCATTGCTCATTAAGATTTCTAAAAAAATTACCTTATTTTTTTAACTAAAAATAAAATTTACTAATACTGTACGAGGATATTAAGGTTTACTATTTTATTATTTATTAAAAAATAATATATAAGTTAACTTATTATTTTTGTATATTTTAAATTAAAATAATATATGTTAAATTAAAATAATATATGTTTAAGTTTAAATAATAAAAGAAATTTACCTTTCGACCATTGTAAATTAAATATATTATTTAATTTAAATATTAGTAAGATAATTACTCTTTAAATATGCTAATTTAAAAAAATATTTGTTGTCTTTTTAACTTTGAATATTAAAGATAATTATATATTTTTGTATATTTTAAATTAAAATAATATTTGTTTAATTTGATTAATAAAAGAGTTTTATCTTTTGAATATTTCAAATTAAAAAATATTGTTATCTGTTTAATGTTGAATATTAAAATATATTTAGTTGGATTAAATCTCTCTTGAAAATCCCCTATAAATAGTAAACAAATATGTTAAGTTAAACACAATATCTCACAACTCAGTTTTTCAAGAACTTCTCTTATAAAAAAAAATTTATGTTCCTTAGTTTTTTCAATGATAGTCGAAATCAATGATTGTTCATGATCTGTACAAATATGCTACTGTAGCCGATCATTATTTGTTGTATCATGGGACATAAATTTGTATCATGGGAGATAAATGAAAAACGAACTCGAGCACTAAAGAATGATCGAAAATCTGTTTTAAGGAAACTGTATAGCGATAGGCCTCAACTGATTTCGATCGATAAATCAAAATAAAAAGAATATTTTATTTCCATTTTTTTTTTACATCTAATAAGTTTAACCTTTTTGATTTAGTTTATTTTCTCATGATTGATTTTGTCTCAAATTATTTTTTTAGATGACAATCTTAAGATAAGAGTAAACTCGTTCATTCTCTTTATCACTTTGTACTTTTTATATTCTATAATGATATTTATTCATTATTAATTTTTTTCTATCGTTCTAGGATTAATGTACGCGTATTTTCTAACAGCCTTTACCAATCCCCTCTGCTCCCTGGACTCCCCGATGATCTTGGCATTGCTTGCCTAATACGAGTCCCGGGATTTGAGCACAGAAAGCTCCGCCTGGTCTGCAAAACATGGTATAGACTTTTGTCCGGTAACTTCTTTTATTCTCTCCGTAAGAGCCTTGGGATTGCAGAAGAATTTCTTGGCAGAAGAATGGATATATATTATTAAAAGAGATCGAGACAGAAAATTTTCTTGGCATGCCTTTGATCCCGTATACCAGCTCTGGCAACCCCTCACTCCTGTCACCAAGTAACATTCCGAAGCCCTTAGCTTTGGATGTGCTGTCCTCAGTGGTTGTCACCTTTATCTGTTTGGTGGTAAGGATCCCTTAAAGAAAGATATGCGACGAGTCGTATTTTACAGTGCCAGGACAAACAAATGGCACCGTGCCCCAGATATGCTTCGTCGAAGACATTTCTCTGGTTCGTGTGTTATAAACAATTGCTTGTATGTTGCTGGTGGAGAGAATGAAGGGGTGCATCGGTCGTTGAGGTCTGCTGAGGTATTTGATCCCAACAAGAATAGGTGGTCTTATATTTCAGATATGAGCACGGCAATGGTGCCCTTCATTGGGGTTGTAAATGAGGGGAAATGGTTCTTGCAGGGGATTGGATCTCACCAACAGGTGATGAGTGAGGTCTACCAACCCGAACCGATAGCTGGTACCATGTCTATAACGTAATGGTTGCAGGCTGGCGGAACCCGCGTACTTTAAACGGTCATCTCTATGCTTTGGAATACAAGGATGGCTTAAGCTAAGGGTTTAACCCGCGTACTGATTCTTGGAGTAAGCATATCGACAGTAGGAAACATTTGGGGAATTCTCGAGCTTTGGAAGTAGCGGCTCTCGTTCCTCTTAACGGGAAACCCTGCATCATTCGGAACAATATGAGCGTATCTCTGGTTGATGTTTCGAAATCCGATGATCTGAGGGACTGTGGAGACTAGGGCCTCTCTAAAGTCACAACCCCAAATAAGATACAAATATGAAACTTTATTGATAAATAGCATTGTAGTTGCAATTCATGTAAAAGGAAAAGCCTACAAGACTAGGGCTTCCTGGAAGAAGAAAAAAACAACCACCAAAATGAAGGTTGTTATGGCAGATGAGATTTACTCATTGCCACCAGCCAAAAAAGCCCCATCAATCTGAAGCCACCCAAACATAGAACTGCACAAAACAAAGTCATACAGACACCCAAACATAGAATTCTCCGTGAACCGAGGCTACGAAAATGCCTCCGGTGGACGGGGGCTCGAACATTACATCAGACTTTCCCGTGTCAAGAAAGCCTGCAAAAAATGGGATGGACAGGCCATCCGAAAAACAAGCCAAGGTACCCAGGAAAACACCAAGCCATAGAGCAATGAGCATGACCGGTTTGTTGGACCAAAAAACCTGTGCTGAATGATAATATTAGAAAAGGATGTCACATCTCCACAAGCTCTCTACAAGGAGCTCAACAGTTCCACTACTGATTGAATTGCAGTGCTGGAGATTCAACCCCAAGAGGGTCTTGCCTAATCTTTTCAGGAATGGGATGCTTTTGTTCGACACTCCGGAGCAACCTGAGAAAGAAAGTACTTGCAAAATTAGTTGTTCTGCATGGGACAAGGCGGCAACACCAGCATCGGTGATTGCACACCTTGACACATCCAGATCACCGAGGAAGACACAATTGTCTGCAACTGCCACCAAACTTGCATCGGTAATCCTCCTGCAACCATCGAGATTGAGCAACTCGAGGGTACCTCCATGTAGCCTGGCCAAGGCCAGAACTACCTCGTCGGTCAAATTTAAGCAGTCGCTCAGATTCACCTTCACAAGTCCTGCTACACAAGACTCGAGAAGAGGTAGAAGACCAGCATCTGTGATGCCATAAAGCCCACTCAAATCTACATGCTGAAGCTGAGGGCACAATTTTCCCACCATAGCCAGGCTGGAAGTCCCGAAGCCTGTGCAGTTCCTTATCGACAAGGATTTAAGGGAACTGCAAGGGGAGGACAAAGGAGCTTCCAAGGACACATCCTTAATTCCCATGCACTTCACTAGGGCCAGAGATTTCAATCCACAGTTTGAGAGGGCACCAATAATCCCAAATTGTGTGACCTTGTTGCATTCCTCCAATAGCAGGCCCTCAAGAGAACCTGCAAACTTGGCAAAAGCCAGCAACCCATGATCAGAAACAAAGCAACACCTGCGAAGGCTCATCTGCTTAAGGTTCGAGCATCCCTTTGCCATGGCTTCAAGACTCACATCTGTTACCCCCAAGCAAGAAGTAATCATCAAAGAGACCAACTTTTGCAGACCCTTAGCATTCCCCATGACCCAAAATCCCTTCTCGCTCACATTTCGTAGACCACCGAGCATTAGATTTGTCACGGACTTTCCATAATGCCCGATCACAGCAAGAGAAAAATCTGTGATGTTCAACCCCTGAAGCTTCACCTTTGAAAGGATAGAATGTTCTGGTGAAAACAGACTCGAAACTCCGTTATCCCCAACAAGTGGGCAGTCCTTGATAGAAATGGACTGCAGCTTGAGGCAAAGCTTTCCGATAGCTTGGAGGCCCTCATTACCAATCTTTGGGCAAGATTCGATGCTCAAAGCGGTCAAATTAGGGCAGTGCTCTGCAATTGCAGTCAAACCCTTGTTTGTAATAGAAGAGCACTGACAAAGGTCAAGCTTCTCCAACAAATGGCATTCATTAGCTATTTCAGACAAACCCTCGTCTCCAACACGCGGGACATTCCACAAAGAAAGCGCCTTCAGAGAAGGGCAACAACGGGCAACAGCGGATAGCCCGAAATCAGTTACTCCACGGTAAGAGGTACTTCCCCTAATCGAAAGCTTTCCAAGACCACCATGACCGCTCGTTCCAACAGCGACCGCAGCAAGCCTCGTGTCAGTTGCTTTCTTCGCTTCCAAGGACCTTGTAAGATACCCATCACTTTCATCAGACAAGATCATCTCAACATCGTCAGAAACTGAAACGATATTCTCCTTGACGACCTTCGATGACTCGTACTCGCTCCTACGAATACCGGTCAAGAGCATAAGCCAGTGCTTCGAAACACAAGCACAGGAGCTCCTTTCTTTGCCCCCAGAAAGGCGTTTGAAGATCTCAAAAAGACATTCATCAGGCAGGACGTTGATTGATGGTTGATTATTCTGCTCAAACTCGGTTTCCCCAAAGAGAAAAGGGGCAGTAATTCGAGCTCTCTTACGAGAAGGGCAATAGAGATCCACTTGGGAACTGATCGAACATGATCTACCCGAGTCTCTGGAATTTGTATAAAAGGCCCCCCCAACACAGAAATCATCATCACCTGAAATTCCAATAAGCTAAAACAATCCCAAGTATATTTCCAAACAGTGTAAGCAGAAATCAGACATGTTCTCACAACAATATCTTTTTCTTCATCTCAAGAACAATCAATCATACAGGAAATTCATAAAATTTCATTCTTCTTTTTCTACAAATTTTAAAAGCTTTCATCTTTGATGCAAACCTCAAGAATCTAAATTACAATCCTCACAAGTGATGAAAACTTGGTTCCTAAATCATTTATCTTTAATTTCTTGTTCAAAGCTAAAACCAGCTAAAACAAACCACACCATGGCTTAAAAACAGAACCTTGGGTATCAACTAGTGATCTCCATATCTAGAAACTCAAAGCCAATAAATACGAATAGAAAAGAAGCTTACCGGTGTAATTAACAAGAGCAGGCATGGTTGAATCCCAAAACGCAACACCCAGCAAGAGAAAACGCTAGAAAAACGCAGGCCAAGTATAGACCTTGAAAGCTTGAATTGTATCAGAAGAATGAATTCTTAAACCCCACTAAAGTAGGGCAAAAAAAAGGAAGAAGAAGAAGATTGAAAGAGAATAAGTTTCTGTGTTTAGCTGAAGAAAAAAACAGGACACGAGTGGTATTTATTTGGCTGAAAGAATAAGAAGAAGATGTCAGTGTGACGAAATTTCCAAAATTTTTATTATTTTAATTTTATGTCTTTTGTTTCAGATTCATTAACTGACAACCCTCGCTACATGCAATGCATCTTTCCTGGGAACTTTTCTTTTCTCGGCCAACCGTACATTGTATTATATTAAAATTTAGTATATAATATTATAAAATATTTTCAAGGATAAAGTTTTGGTTAATTCCTGAATTTCACTTTTTTTTCTCACATTAATCCATAAATTTCTGGGTAAACTACACGGGTGACCTCTAAACTATAGTCAAAAATCATTTTTGACCACTAATGTTTCAATTTGATCAAACATACCATCCAACTATTGAAATACTTCAATCAAGTCACATGTCGTTAACAGTTAATGGAACAGGTGACGTGGCAGTTAAAAACATTTTGGTATAATTATACAATTGGTCCACATTACTTATATATTCTTTCAATTTGGTCCTCATTTTAATAAATTAAAATCATGACACATGTCATCATTCGATTGGAGGACTAAATCTATAAATTAAAAATAAATTTAAATAAATTAGTCTTCCAATCGACTGATGACATGTATCATTATTTTAATTTATTAAAATGAGGACCAAATTGAAGAATATATATAAGCAACATGGATCAATTATGTAATTATACCAAAATGTTTTTAACTACCATATCACAGGTTTCGTTAACCGTTAATGGTAGGTGGCTTGATTGAAATATTTTAATAGTTTGATGGTTTGTTTCATCAAATTGAAACATCGATGGTCAAAATGATTTTTGACTATAATTTAATAGTCAATCGTGTAATTTACCCTAAATTTTCTCATCTCTTATTGAATTTATTTGTTTCACTCTCGCCTTTAAACTAAATAAAAATAAAAATTAAAAGGGTAAAGTACACGAGGATCCCTGACTATAGGATATTACTTTATTAAATCTCTTGACTATTAAAAGTTGCAAAATGGTCCTTTGAAAGTTACTTTGTTAAGTCCCTCGCTTATCAAAAGTTACAAAATTGTCACTCGACTATTCATTATGTTTCAAGCTCGTCATTTTCCATAAAAAAATTAACAATTATCTGACCTGGATGTTAACACGTTGACTGAGATATGATAGTCGTTTGAGATTATAATATAAAATTTTATTACATCTTAGTCAGTAGAATAACGTGTAACTCAGATTGTCATCAATTTTTTAACAAAAAATAATGAGTTTGGAACATAATGAATAGTCGATAGACCATTATGTACTTTTATTAGTCAAGTGACTCAACAAAGGCAACTCCCTATAGTCAGATAACCATTTTATAACTTTTAATATTCTAAGGACTTAACAAAATAATATCTTATAATCAGAGACTATTTATGTACATTACCCAAATAAAAATAACTTATTTTAATTAATAAATAAATGAATTAACTAACTAAAAATTAACAGAAGGACCAATCACGAAATCTATATTTTCTTGTAAAGTTTATTCAACTTTGCTTGCCTTTGAAATAAAGAAATCGCTAACGTTGTCTCTTAATTAACATTAAATTGAATTTTGGACGGTGTATAAAGTAATTATTTTTAGGCCTAGCATGCAAGATTCTAGGGTTTCCCTTATCATTTGAAATAATAATATAGTTCTCTTAATTATAATTTTTATTTTAAATTAATTTATAAATTTAAAAGGTTTTTGTATTAATTTTTAGTTTTTAAATTAATATTTATATTTTAAAATATTTTTATATCAATCCTTATTAGAGCTAATAAAGATATATTTTAAAGGTGATGATAGTTGAAATTATGATACTCTAAAAGAATTTAAGGACATTTAGAAATAGATAGTTTTTTTTAGAAGATCACGTGTTGAATTTTAGAGGCTTCAAAAATATATTAATTTAAAAAAAGAATGATATAAATCCAATTTCCAAGACTTTTAAAAAAATTCAAGAGTTAACTAAACATTAATGAAACTATCAACATTGAATGTATCGATAGTTTGAGGATTGATAAATAATGTTTTAAAATTTAGGGTCTAATTTAGAATGAGGTTATACTTTGAGGACCAATATAGATTAAAAAAATGGTAGTTTGATTGTTAATTAATGATGAACAAGTTGGACAAGTGGGTGATTTTATTATCTTTAATTATTGTATGACTAATAATGGGGCTGCTCTCTACCATTTGATAAATGCAAGCAAATGCGAATCAAACTTATCAAGAAAATTTTAGTATTAGCATCTAGCTTTTCGACTTTGATTAAAATTTGGTAGGTTAATCTACACTGTTGATCATTAAACTTTAGGGAAAAATACGTATTTAGTATCTAAATTATCAGTTTTGATTTATTTTAATACTTGATTTTTTTTTTATTAATTTGGAGTAAGTACAAGGGGTAAGTACAAGACAATATATGTTTATTGATAACCTTCAACCTTTTGACATTAAACGCTCACACCCCTGACATCTATGGTGCTCGAACCCAAGTCATCAAGGAATAACAACGATTCCTTTACCGCAGAGGCCACTTGGGTCACAACTAAACTTTTATTTTTTTTAAATCATACCTAATGTTTAATTATTTTGTTTCGTTTTAGTAACCCGCCGTTAAAAACTTAACGCATTTTGTACCTAAACTATCAATTTTGGTATGTTTTATTACCTAAACTTTCATTTTTTTCAAAATTTTGCGTTAAATTTTGAAAATGGATACTAAAATGAAACAAAAATTAAACTTTAGGTATAATTTTGAAAAAAATAAATGTTTATGTATTAAAACGAACTAAAACTAATAGTTTAGGTACTAAACGTATAATTTATCCTAAATTTTAAGTTTTGTATTGATTTTATAATTGAAATTTAAAACACTCTTGTATAAATATTAAACTTTGGTTTTGGATTTAAGTGAGACGTTGAGTTGTTAAATCATTAAATTCCTGACGAGGTGATCATCATTTTCGTGTTGTTTTGATAAAAAATTATCAATTCTTTCGATCGTCTGATCATCTCTATCCACCGGTCATCATCAACAATAAGATTAACATCAAAATATTCATATTTTACTTCTTTTCCTTATGCTTAGAATGTTTTTTCACGAAACCACCTCAAAATAAATGAAGATCCATCCAAATGTTCAGTATTCTAATGTTCTGTTCTCCTCTAACGATCGTCTAATGAGAGTGAGCTCGAAATATTTTTTTCGCATGTCGAAAGAATGTCTCTCTTTTAAACAAACAACCTCAAATCTCTCCATTTCGGAAAAAGTGTTCAAACCCTAAAAGTTCCAGCTTATGCTGCCACAAAATTGGACAACATCAATTTAGGACTACTCTTGCAGCTGAATTTTATCAACGGTCCAAATTGTCGAACATTGAACTCACCCAAGAATGGATAAAAATTAATAATTCAAAATTGTAAGAGTGGGCCATGGTTGTTGTGTTGACGTGGGACAAAACAAAACAAAAATAAATAAATAAAATTGGCAATTTGCGGAAGAGGGGGGCCCATTTAGAGAAAATGCGAGTGCTTTTGGGTTCTCTTGTCTTGGACAAAATGAAAAAGGATGTACATTGAATTTGAATACCCTTTTCTCTTTAATTTAATTACGTCGGTCCATCCTATCGTCGGAAAATCAATGTAAAACCCGATTTTTTTTTAAAAGGGATTTCTTGAAATAAGTCAAAATCTTTAAGGGTAAAGTACATAAATAGTATCTTGACTATAGGTACTATTTTATTAAATCTATTGGTTATTAAAAGTTGTAAATTGGTCTCTTTATTATAGAATGTTGTTTTATCAAGTCCATCGACAATTAAAAGTTACAAAATTGTTATATGACTATTCATTATGTTCCAAATTCGTCATTCTCCTTTAAAAATTAACGTTTGTCTAAGCTGAATGTTAGCATGATGATTGAGATATGATAGTCGTTTGAGATTCTATGATTAGATTTTGTCATATTATAGCCAAGAAGTTAATATTCAGCTCAGAATTCTATCAATTTTTTCTAATGAAAATGGACGAGTTTGAAACATAAATGAATAGTCGAGTGACCATTTTATAACTTTTAATAGTCGAGGGACCATTTGTATACTTTACCCAATCTTTAAAGTAAAATTGTTTTAATTTAAGTACAAAATAAATCAATTATGTTTTGCGAATTAAGTAATAGAACGTTATATCATTTTAATATCATAAATAAATAAATAATACAAAAAGTATATTTTTATTTAAAAATGATTTAATTTGATATATAATCATAAACATTATATAAGTTTTTTTATATATAAAAACAAGTATTCTTTTTATGGACTTACAAAGTACAAAAAGGCAACGGCAGCACTCAATTTTCCTCGTTTTTTCTATGAGCATATAGATGGATAAACACGGCGCCAGTTGGTGATATGGATGACGGCTGACGCGTCTCTTTATTTATTGGGTAAAGTTTACTAGAGGTTCATGTCTTATATTCAAACCATCTTTTTACCTATTAAGTTTTCAAATGTTACAAAATACTCATTAAATTTATTATCAAACTATTATCAAATAATCTTAAAATTTATCATTATTTTATAAATGCAATAATAATTTGACAAAAATGCATCATAGGTCCCTATTCTTTTAAAAGAAAATCAATATAACCCTCATATTATTTTATTCCTTAGTATGACTCTCCAACTCAAAAAATAAACCCAATATGACCTTTTAAACTATATTTTTCATCTTTCACCTTTACATTATCGATGTGACAATTCACTAAACTGACGTAATGATCAACAGTGTTGACGTGACAATCCATAGTAGTTGATAACGTGATGGATAACATTACAAATAGACCAACACTATAATGGTGAACTTCCACACCTGTACTATAACGTCAACAACGGAAAAAAGTTGATCAAAGGACCACATTGAGTTTGTATTTTGAGTTAGTTGGCCACATTGAGAGAGAAAATAATACAAGAGTCGTATTGATTTTTTTTCAAAAGTATAGACATCTTATTCCTTTTTACCTAATAATTTTGCAACATAAATAAATTTATTAACTAAAAAATCATTTCAACATGATTTAGTGATCATTTACATGCTTTACCATTAAGTAAATGTTATAAGCCCAAATTCCAACACAGCTAATCCAATCAGCCAACCTATGTGGACACTTGATTTTGGACAGAAATCAAAGGATGGAGAGAGATGCATGCACGGCCCTGAAGTTGAAGCAAAAGAAATAAAAATGCTTGAATTTGAATACAAATCTGTGGACATGCATATTGTTTGTCTTAAAAGTTTAATATTCTTCGACTTTACTAGGTATAAAGATGTTGGTAAATCACATATTACCAACCACGTTTCTCAATCATACTAATGAATAAAATAAAACATGAATGCATTGTGGTCAAGTGAACCTGTTGAAGAAACACCTATGCAATCAGTCTAAATTTAAAAATAAATAATAAAATAAAGTTTTTTTTAAAAAAATACTTTATTAGTTGAGAAATTATTTATCTGTGTTCCAACAGCTATTTTAGGAATGCAACAAAATAACAAACACGGTTCCAAATGTATCATCGCCATTCAATATAGGTGTAATTGAAAAAAAAATCATCGAACCCTATCACCTGCTGAATCGGTTGAAGATCGACTCGACGACTGTAATATATCCACTTCTTGTGGTTCCCCTAATTACCACGTTTGAATATGAGAGATGCCAGGTTAGCTCTCCACCCAATAATCAACGACGATGGTGGTTGTGTTTTGGGAAGAAGGGAAGCTAGTCCCTGACGCATGCTGTAACCGGGAACGATTGGATGATTGACATTTGTCTCTGCCATCCTGGAAAAATGTTCCACAAGCACATTACCAAATCACCAAAGCATTGCTCAACTCAAAAGAGTCCATTTTTCTGATAAAAACTCACTAAACAAACGTGCGTGCAGACTAGGAAAGGAGCCGAGGTATAGAAGTATGAAAGTGTATCATCACGGGCATCGTACATCAATAATACAAATTGGTGTGACAGAAGGAAAGGGAACAAGGTATAGAATAAGTATGAAAAGTAACTAAATCTTCAAATAAGAGTGAAGAAATGAAGAGATCTAGAACTGGAATCAAAGACTTCCACAACTTCTAGTTTTATGACATGAAAGCAGGTAATGGAGACAAAAACAAAAAACGATTACTGACTAGAACTTACGATTAACCCTAACGATTTTTGAAGAGTTTTTATTGCAGTAAATAATGTGTAAAAGCATAAAATCAGTCATCATGGTAGGCATACTACTGCAAGTCCTCAACTGTAATGCAAGGGAGCTAAATCCATATGCAGTCAAGATTACAGCAAAAAAATTGTGTTTTAAAAGAGTTGGCACGGGGAAAATCATCAGCTAGAGAAGCAGGCTAGAAATTCTCTAAGCACCAAAAATCTGGTGCAATCAAAGATTCAGTATGATTGAAGATGCCACTTGAACCTCTCTAACTGTAAAGAGATTAATAAAGGAAAAACTTTTCTCTGCTGTCTTCTCCAAATGTCAACGCCCCGCAGTTAACTTAATAAGAAGCTAAAGATCAACTAACCGGCGTAAAGATAAAGGTAGTCAACCCTACCTTCTTCCAAAACAAAGAAGCATCAGTTCCCTTAGGTGTTCTTAAAACAAAGAAATAACATGTACTTAGCATAGTACTCAGGACATATTTTGGACAGGATGATCAAGGAAATGCATGCGGCTCAGAGTGCATGTGATTAGAAGAAAAATTGTCTGGTAAAAGCATGTACCAGTACTTAATTAAGGATAATGAAATCATATTTAAAGAAAAAAAAAAGTAAATTATGCGTATTTGTTCTTTGTAAATTTTATCAAAAGCAACCCTTATCACTATCAACATGATGGCAGTCGGCAAGTGAAAAACACCAGCAACCATATTCAGATAATAAATAACATAATTGCCTGAACATTTCAAAGTATCTATAGAATAGTTGCCATAATGGGTCCGAACTAAGCTGCCAATAAATTCATAAGGGAAATAAGGTAACAAAAACAAACAAAAGACAAAGCAACCGTAAAGAGAGATAGCCATACGTGGGAGGCACCGTCCCTTCAGAAGCAAATGTGGAAAGGCCTTGTCGTTGCTTGTGTTTAGGGTTGGAAGTGCATAGTACATATACTCGTCCGCGGCGCTTAACGGTTCTGCAGAACTCGCACATCTTTTTCACTGATGATCGCACCTTCATACTTAACACTGCATAATCCAAATATCATCAAACAAGCCAAATCATATATAACAATAACATAATTCAAATACGAACATAGCTGGCGCAATTGCAGATATCGCGGTCATAAAATAACGGTTTCTGACGACACCGCTACCGTTCTATTGCGGTCGCGTACAGCTATTTAAATCCGTATAACTATAAGTAAGAAATGAATCAATGAAGCATAAATTAGCAATTGCACAATAACTTTTTTGCAAGAAATTCAATTTCAGCCTCGAGAAAAAAGTATGAATTACTTTTTCACAAATCAAACGAAAATGAAAGACCCTTTACAGGTTAAATCGAACAAAAAAATGTAACAGAGTGATGCAGAGGCAGAGAGCAGGTAACACAAACCGAGCAATAACTCAAAATCCAATGGCTCAAGTAGAAACCAATCTTCAAGTTAAGTTTGGGGTTTCAGAAATTACCTTATCTAGTTTCTTGATCCGCCCGAAACTTGAAAAACAAGAGAGCAGTGGCGAGAGGCTTGTCTAGCGGCGGTGATGTGCGAAGAAGGACGAGACTTGTGGTGGGCCGGCAATTTTTAAAAGAGAATGGTTTCAACCCTTGTGCAACATTGGGTTCGAATCCCGCATTTAAAAATAGACGAAATTGGGCCCAAAGGTTCGGCCTACAATGAGTATTTGTAGTATTCAATGTGTATTATTATTTTCAACTATAATGAGGAACCTTCAAAATTTATAAAATTTTAAAATATATATTTCAAACACATGCATGGATGAAAACCGGGATAGAAGATGGGTACAATTTTATGGATTTCACATTGTATCTGCATTAATAGGGGCGAGGATGGATACGAGTTTAGTGGGTAGTGAACGAGTATAGATATAAAAAGTCATAATCGTCGTGGGTAGTGGGTAGGTGACAGGTTTAATACTTTACTCACACCGCATCCGCCCTCCCCATATTCGTCCGTTCACTAACTTTTCACTATATAATTTTTAGACCATTATGAATTTAGGTATAATTTTAAATATTATTTTGTAAATATTAAAATTTTATAGGACACGACATGTATTGTAACTAAATATTATGATATATATATTTTTAAAATTTAAGTCAGTCGTTTCTCCTATCTCAAATCAGTGGGTTTAGACGGGTATAAATATGTATGAGATGAGTGGTGGGTATCTAATTAGTTAATGAGTGTGGAGATGAATTTAAGAATATATTCGAGTGAGTGGGTGTTGATTTAAAAATTTTACCCGACTTAGAGATGGATAAGTGGTGAATACGAAAATATTTTAACAAATAACAAAAATACATAAAACCCAAAATACACTTTGATTTTGAAAAGACCCGTCGGATATTCTCGGCATTTCCCTCCGAATATTCCTTTCCTTTCCGCTGTATTCCCCACATTTTCCCTTCGCCAACTCCTTCTTCCCTCCCGTTTCTCTCTTTTTCCCTCACCCTCTCTTTCATTTTCTTACCATCCAATCACTAATTTTAAGATTTAAAGCTAAGATTTCTGGCCATGAAATTTGGGAAGAGCCTCAGCAACCAAATCGAGGAGACGTTGCCTGACTGGCAGGACAAGTTCCTTTCTTATAAGGAGCTTAAGAAGAAACTGAAGCTTATTGAGCCTAAGTCCAATGAGAGGCCGAATAAGCGGCTTAGATCGGATCAAAATTCTCTCGGTGTTTTGGGTGCAGGAGATAAAGTCGGCGAAGGCTACGGCATGTCGAAGAAGGAGTCCGATTTCATTGAGCTTTTGGAAGAGGAGCTCGAGAAATTCAACGCTTTTTTCGTGGAGAAAGAGGAAGAATATATCATTAGATTGAAGGTAACTCCAACGCTGATTTGATTTCGAGCTGTTTTTATTGCCTGGGGAGGGGGATTTACTTCTTGTTTCTATTTTCTTTCTTCGGTTTTCCCGGTAAACAAACAGGATCCGGAACGTTGTCGTATACGCTAAATCAAGATATCAAGTTATTTTGGGTTGGTTGCAGGAATTACAAGACAGTGTGGCGAAGGCAGAGGATTCCAATGAAGAAATGATGAAGATTAGGAAGGAGATAGTGGACTTCCATGGCGAGATGGTTTTGTTGGAGAATTATAGTTCCCTTAACTACACAGGTATTTCAGCTTTCTTTTCATTTAATCAACACTTTTGTTTGTTTGATCAAAGATATTGCAACTTGCTTTCTGTTCACGCTTTACGTAGTTGATACCACTATTGTAGCTGGCTGCATAATCATTTAATCATGTATTTGTTGCTTTTTTGAATCATATTTTGCACCATAATCGTGATTAAGCTATCATAATCATAGTATGAAACTATTAGATATTATCATTCCAACTTACAATCCCTGTAGAAGAACCAGTAATTGTTAAAGAACTTAAGGCCCATTTATCTGGAATTACTTTATTCGTTCTATCTATTGCGTGTTCCTTCTGCAGCTAACCACTCATCCACATACATTCTTTGATTCAAAGTTAAATATTCTACTCTTAAATGGCCACCTTTCAATTTGTTCAACAGCATTTCCTTGGGCATATGCGGCACCCATTAAAAAGATTACCTTTAAATATTTGATGAATAAACTACCCATCTAGTACTTAAACTATCATTTTTGTTCCGCTTTAGTATCTAAACTATTCCGTCGTTAAAAACTTAACGCGTTTATTACCTAAACTATTAGCTTGGTCCATTTTAATACCTAAACTTTTAATTTTTTAAATAAAATTGTCGCTAAATTTTGAATGAGGATACTAAATTAAAACAAAAACTAAATTTTATGTATGATTTTGAAAAAATTGAAAGTTTATGTACTAAAATGGACCAAAATTGATAGATCAGGTATTAAACGTGTAATTTACCTTAAATTATTTTTCTAATGGTAATTTTAGTCCTTATAATTTAAATATTTATCAAATTAAACCTTGCTTCTTTTAAATTTAGATCAAATATTTTTTTAAGTCCATATTAATATTGAAGTTAGACGATTTAACCCCTTTTATTGTTGTTTCGTCTCTATTAACACTGAAAACTATGAACAGGATTGGTGAAAATATTGAAGAAGTATGAAAAAAGAACTGGTGATTTAATCCGCTCGCCTTTCATTCAAAGGATATTGCAACAGCCGTTCTACACGACCGACTTGGTTTACAAGCTGGTTAAGAAATGTGAGGCGATGCTGGACCATCTCTTCCCCAAGAACGAGAAGCGGGCACCAGCCTCAACCGAAGCAGCGAAGACCGGTTGCGATGCTTCGACATCTACGACTGAAGATTTGGTCAGAATGCCCAAGGAGCTACCGAAGATAAAGCACATGGAGAGCCTATACATGAAAAGCACCGTATCAGCATTGCGGGTATTGAAGGAAATTCGGAGTGGAAGCTCCACCGTTAGCGTTTTCTCATTGCCTCCCCTGCAAATAAGTGGATTGGACGAGACATGGAAGAAGATCCATGTTCTTGAACAAGCAGCCAAATAGTGGAATTTCAGCTCCTGGTGTTATTTTACTTCTTTAACTTTAGTTTGGTTGTAGACTGTAATTAGTTCTCCAACTTTTGTTATATCTGAAAATATAAACCTGTAGTCCGGTAAAATTGGTCAAATAAGTCACCCGGGTATCAACATTAGTCCATTAAGTTAAACTGGATTTTAATTTTTGAGCATGACGAATCGGTTCAAATAATATTTTTATTCAATCGAGACGAGTTTTAAATCATTATAGTAAATGTCATAGATCATTTTGAAGATGGTTTAATTGATCAATTGTTTTACTTGCTTAGCTTATTGGGTCAATTTTGTCCCTTTGGTCTAGCAAATTTCGAGTTCAAATTCTTGTGTATATAGAAAATTATCGTTGAAATATTCACCCACCACAGTTAAATGTGCGATCCGCGTCGATCCAGATTAATTAAACAAAACAGCATGAATTGGGAGAGCAACAAAAATAACTTAGATTTTGATATTAGATTAATTGATACTGAATCAAATATTAAATATCTATATGTATTTATTTATTTATTTAGCTTAAATCTAACCGAATATTTTATTTACTATAGACAGTAACAAATCACAGTCCGTTGAGTGTGGACAAATGTGTATCTCGAAGTTCAAAATTTGTATGACTCCCGTCTTTAAATTTTTGTTTATATCGATTTTATTTAAAATATTTATGTTATATATAAAATAATTTTAATTTATAGTTGCAATAATATGGAGAAGCAACCCGTACCGTTGCCCATTTCAGCCGCCATTATTTTAAGCGACCATAACTTTCTATTCACTCTAGAAATTCTTTTTCATTTTCTATTTACTATCAGATTAATACTTTAGCTTCAAGACAAGACTGTTTGAACCGCTAATACAAGCCTCTTAATATATTCAGATTTTCGCTCTCCTTCTCTTCTTCTTCTTCTTCTTCACAGCAACAACCCCATTTAAAACTTAGCAAGAAAAAAAAATCTGGGTTTCAATGGCTTCTCTGACTCCAATTTCCCAGTCCCACTCCTTTCTCAAAAGACCCAACCTTAAATCTCCTCCACCTCCCAATTTCTCTTCCAGTTTTGTCCTCAAGGATTTCCCACATTCCAAAGATCTGTCTCTTAAACTCCCCAGGATGGTTACTAGGAGCGCCGTCGTATCGGCCACGACGGCGGAGAAGCACAGGAAGAGGTACCCCGGAGAGGCTAAAGGGTTCGTGGAGGAGATGAGGATCGTGGCTATGAAGTTGCATACTAGAGACCAGGCAAAGGAAGGAGAGAAGGAAGTGAAACAACCTGAAGAGCGTACCGTTAAGGTATGGGAGCCCACCGTCGATGGGTACTTGAAGTTCCTTGTTGACGGCAAGTTGGTTTACGATACGCTTGAAGGGATTATTGATAAGGCTGCCTTTTCTAGCTGTAAGCTTTCCATTTTTCTATTTTCCTATTTTCATTTGACTTTTTTCTTTGAATTCTACTTCCTATGTGTATTTGTTTTCAGCTATATTTTTGGAATATTGTGATTGATTTTAGGATCAAATCATATGTGAGAAGATGTGTTCATTAAGGGAAAACAAGACTAGAATGAGCCTTTTAAGTTTTTTATACGATGATATTTAGATTTATTATGGGGCACAACGGGGTGAACTTGGGGTAATTGCTCTCAATTTGACGAAAAAACTATAAGAATGCAGATTAAATGTATTTGTTTCATGAAATTCTGTGATATCCTCTTCTATATGGGGGAATGACCGAATGAAAAATTAAGAATGCAGATTGTATGCCAAGAATTCTTTCTTTCTTCGATTCCGGGCTTCAGTTGTTTGGTCTAATGGTTCGATGAAGGTAGATTCAAATAGCCTTTCACATGAAAACCAAAGCACTTTACCATTAACATAGATGATTGAATTGTAGCTGTTTAATACTTGAAATGAATTCCTTTAAAAGTAACAGGGGTGCTAACTTCGCGTTAAACCCGAAGTTTCGGATGGTTTGTAATGCACCACCCAGTTCCTAGCTTTGCTCATTTCATATGTAATTATGTATATGCTTGTATGTATGTGCTTCTTGAGTGTGGTATTTTATGGTTTTACGGTACTGCTAGAAAAAAAAGTAAAGTAATAAGTATGGTCTGCTTCAGATGCTGAATTCAGAAACACTGGATTGGAAAGGTCTGAGAAGTTGGCAATGGATTTACAGTGGTTCAAAGATCAAGGCTATGCCATTCCAGAACCATCTTCTCCTGGTGATACGTATGCCGCGTATCTTAAAGAACTATCTGACAAGGATCCACAAGCATTCATATGTCATTTCTACAACATTTATTTTGCCCACTCGGCTGGTGGCCGGATGATCGGGAAAAAGGTAAACACAATACTAGCTCCAAATGTGTATCAAAAAGTAAATTTCTCAATCCTTATCTACACTGTTTAGAATTAAGCACATGTCATTGTGCTCCGTCTCTCTTCGTCTCTCTATCCCCATTTGGGTCAGTTCATTCATCTCACCAGCTTCTATCTAGTAGACATCCCATAGCCATACTTATTTTGTAACATGTTGATTGTTGAATGCATACACTTCCCTCGATATCTATGTCCTTACTGCCCCCTCCATAAAATGTGCTCTCTTAAATGAATACTAACTTGATTTACGAGAAGAGCACTCGAGCTCATTTAACCCCACTCTTTCTATTAGGTGGCTGAGAAGATACTTGACAACAAGGAGTTGGAATTTTACAAATGGGATGGTGACCTTTCCCAGCTGTTACAAAATGTGAGGGACAAGCTGAATAAAGTTGCTGAGGTAATATTCATTGTATGATTGCTTAACTCTCTTGTAAACACCATTTGCATTCCGTTTCTGTAAGACTAATACCTATTCTATGTTACTTAAGAGCTGGACTCGAGAGGAGAAGAACCATTGCTTGGAAGAAACAGAGAAATCGTTCAAATATTCAGGGGATATTCTTCGATTAATATTGTCATAGTATGCCAGCCATAACTTGTTCTGGTTTGTGTTATCAAATATGGACTCAACACTGTGGACTGAACTTGTAAACATATTTCTCTACAATTACTCGTATTCCTGGAATTCCCCCCTAATACTGTTCAGCTACACTAAAGTTTCTTTCGTTCAATATCATATGCATGAATGCTAATTTAGGGGCTGTTTGTTTACCTTTTAATGGAACCATAAAGCGCTGAATGTTGAATCGTTCAACATTCAACGCGTTTGTTTCGCACCTCTGAATGATTCAGTGCTGATTGATTCAGCAAAACAGTGTTGAATTATTCAGCATAGAAGTACATTCTGAATGATTCAGAGCTAGTAAACAAACAACATGTTACATTCAGAGTTAATTCATCCAGAGCCTCTGAATCATTCAGCACTTAATCATTCTGAAGTAAACAAACACCCCTTAGGTTCAAAATTGAGTTTTTTTTTATGCTTTGAGGTTTATCTCACCTGTCCTGTTCCATTATATGGATTTAATTGTGATGCATAGTCAGTGAGCATTGAGCGCCTGTAGCTCAGTGTATAGAGTGTCTGTGTCCTGAACAGAAGATCATAGGTTGGACCCCAATCTGACGCGCTCAGAATGTTAGGATTCTGCTCTGTTAAATATTTTAATCTCCCTTTTTCCCTGCAACAACAGACATACATTAATGGCATCAATAGTTGAACATGAATCGCGGAGCGGATCCGAAGGTTATTGATGGCTTGATGCACTCGAAAAAATTACCTTCCATGAAATGCGAGTAAAATGCATGATTGAAGAACACTAGAGCATGAGTTGGTCAAAAACTAGTGTTAAAGAAACACACAGAAGTGAAGCCCTAGCGAGTTTGACATTCGTTTTGTTCTACAATGCTTTCAACTTCAGAGAACAGAGAAGAGAAAAAGTGGGTCTGTCAATTGTTCCACCGGAAGCAAAGGCATTCAGCTCAAGTGAATTACTCAAAACGCCATCGGCACAGCAGTCGGGAACCACGAGCAATGAGGTCATAGTTTAGTTCTATAAAAGAACCAGGAACCAGCAGCTTATTGTTTCTGTTTCTTGCTTTTTGTCTGTTTCAGAGCCGTTTTGGCGGGGTGTACTAAACCCACTACATACCACACCACCGGGCGGCTCGCCTGAGTACCGAGTCTTTCTCTTCCGCCAACTTGACATCGTCGTCACCTGCAAGATAAAAACTTGACTTTACTAAACAAGCAAGAGAAAAGAAAGCCCGTTCTATGTTGTTAGTAAAGCGCTCTAGCAGTAATCAAACTAAAGCGCACGCTAGAAATGGCTTTCTTTGTGTCAAATACAGTGAGCAGAAAATAGCTAGTGGCTTCCTGTTGAATGCTGCGCCATTTCTACCTTACCCAAGTCGGCTTTGAAGACGACAGTCAAGCCTAGTTACTGGGAGATACGTTGCTTCTCCTTATCCAAGCTGACAAAAAACTGGAACATGGTGAGCGGCAGTAATCGAACCCGCGCGGGCAGAGACACCTGATATCTAGGCATGCCTGTTAACCACTCCGGCAGGCTCTCTTGATGGCGATATGTCGCATGATTAATATATAAAAAAATAGAATTATTCCATCCATCGTACAACACTATTACAAGAGTCATCTATGGTGCTACCTCCTTTGATCGTGAAATTCTTTGAAGCCAAAAACCTTTTTCCTTTCCATATTTTCAAAATGCGAGAAATAGACAAAACAAAAGGTTTGTTGTCAATCCATGTGAATTAGATTATTGCTTCACCGGAAACTCTTGTAAAAGGGTCACACAATGCTTAACTTTCTTTGCATTGCATCTTTTAATTCTTTCTTCTTCTCACATTGTAATTTTGTTATGGGCGTTCTATTGTTTTTCTTTCAGCTACTTATGTTTTTCTATCGCTTCTGACTGTAGGTTTTTTCTATTTATCCTTTCCATTTGTAATTTTTATTTAAGAAAAATAGACATATAAGATCACCGTATGCCTCACTTTCAACTGTTCATGTCACACCCCAATTTTAATTTTAAAATATATTTAATTTAATTAAGGGACTAAAATGGGCAGTTTTAAAAATTCTGGGTTAATCTCTTTGGGAAGTTTAGAGACTTATTCCTGAATTTTTCCATTTTTGAGATGTAGAGAAAATTTAAAAAAATGGAATTTGGTCGGCCATCACTCTACCATCTAAGATAGGCCACTATGATGTAACCCAAACTAGAAAAAACCCTTGGGATCGTGAACTAACCCCATACCTTAAACCCGTTCGTCACCCTCCTCGTCGCTCCCCGCTCCGGCCAGCGTTGCAGGTCACCATCATCTTCAATAGAAGCGCCAGGCCACCGCGAAGCAACCCCAGCCAACCACCAACGCTAAATGCTTGCGGTTAGTCGTGGTTGGGCGTTTGAACTTCCGTCGAAACCCCCTTCTGTCGCCTCAGGTTATCGCGTTTTTCGAATGCCTCTATCGTCCCCTTGCCTCATCGTCGCTGCCACAATGTTCCCCGACCATTTTCGACCAGAACCCAACCGACGGATCATCGTATTATGACTGTTTTTCTCATCGTTGGTGTCGGTAAGCTTGGATTAAATTCTCAGTTATTTTTCTTTCAGTTTTGATTGATTTTTAGTTAAATCTTGGTTGATATGGTGTTTAGATGCTCCTGGAGTGCTCAGCAGTCGCCCTAACCCCGTCGCCATCGCAACGTGCACCATGTGCGCGTGAGGCTCCTCCCCGGTCTTGGAACCCCCTAGAACCGATTCGAGTTAACTCTGACCGAACTGAGTTAACCTGAACCGGAATGACCCGTTGACCTTGACCCAAACCGTTGACTTTGACTTGCCAATTGACTTTGACTGTTGACCGTTGATTTTGACCGAAAAATCATTTTTTATGTTTTTCGACATCTTGAGTCCAGATCCAAAGTTCGTTTTGTCAAATTTGAACCCGAAAGCCTCTGAATTGACTGTTAAACTCTATCGTGCATATATAATTTAAACAATTTAATTAAGTTCATTTAATTTAAGGTCAATAATTGATTAATTTATGATGATGTCGTTAATCAAAGTACTCATGGATTCCCTGACCGTTCGTCTGTTTGATCTGGTTCCTCCATATTTGTCCATTAACACGAGCCCGTGATTACTCGTATAATTCTGTAACTCTGTTAGTCATTCAGTTTAGAATATTAATCCGATAATAATTTTGTTCTAGTATGACCTAGGTGTACAGTCGAAGAACGTATTGAAGCTAGTGCTCGATAGATCTCCCATACTGATTCTTTTTGCGAGGTGTGTTCTTATGTGCAATATATATATGATTTAAATACATGTATGAAGATATCATGTGCACTTGACTGTTTTAATTGATTTGCAATATGGCTAGCTGATCTGATTTAATTTCGCATGATTTATCTGTTTCAAGCATGATTTTTTTATTTACTAAAGTATTAAGCATGATTGTCTAATTCATGTTTTGTGGTTATTGAATTGATACATGTTTGAACTCTGATTTCCTTGATACTGTTAGTTACTGTTTGAAAACTATTATCTTCGGGATATTCTGGGATCTGGTATGAATTCTCTGCAGGTTCAGCTCTGATCAATCTGGTAATTCTTTATATAGGTTCAGTAACGATCAAGCTGGTAATTCCTTATTGATCTAAGGCGACCCTTGGGTGGGCTCCTGAGCTCAATGGGCCTACTGGTAAGACCTTATGGACCCTAAGGTACTCCCTTAGGGTGACACCTCTATTATGTGCATTGGGTAAGTCCTTATGGGCTTGAGGGCACACCCCTCAGGTGGACACCTACGCTTCGGCTAGGGTAAGACCTTATGGACCTAAGATGCTCCTTTAGGTTGCCTCCTACGCCCTTTGGGCCTAGGGTAAGTACTTATGGATGCATTTCTGGGGAACTGCATATGGTGTTCAGTTAGAGGGCGATTCTATATTTTAAGCTAAAAACACTACTGACGTTTTCATAACTTGGAACTAAACTAATTTGGAACTTAACTGTATGTTTTATTTATACACTGTTGGAACACACTGCGCTCCCTAGCTCACTCCCCCAAACTTTCCCCTTTCAGATATTTTTTCATAGGCGACCCGGACCTGACACTTGGAGGATCGACACATTCGTACAATATTATTTTGTTGTAATGTTTTTATCTTCTGAGTTGCATTTATTTTTGGGTGACATGTGATTATATTTTGAAAATACTGGTCTACAACGTATGCTAGTTCTGATACTTGTGATAGATTTGCTTCGAAACTGATTACAGAATATTTATTTTACTCAATCCTTACGACGGCTTTAAATTACTAGAATTGAACTTTAATATTTTCAACAATATTTTTAAAAGATGTTTATTCGTAATATGATTTTAAATCATTGAAAATGTTTTGGAAGTTTTTATTATAATCCGCTAGATCTGGTCGTAACACATAGGTGGATTTAGGGTTACAGTTCATGTGTTTTTATTCCTGCACTAGACAATTTTAACTTTGCTTTAGACAAAAAAAAACATTCTTTTTAATATATCTTCTAAATTTAGTAGACATGGGACACACTATCGATCAGGATGGCAGACAATGCAAGTAGGCCAGCCATAATTTCTAAGGCATGTGCTTTAGTGAAACAAATTGCTCAAACATTTGCGGGTTGAACTTCTTCAACCCAAAATGCTTTTTATAAAGGCTGCAGTTAGACATGTGTACCAACAATAATCTATGTGTGTGCGCATGCTTGAAAATTAGAACAATAAAATAAGATATCTCAAGTGCGTATTACTATAATACGTACAATAGATGATATTAAAATATCATCTTGTATTTAACATCATCTTAAATCCAAATAATAATTATTGTGTGGTCTTATTTTTTCTTGTCTTTACGGTTCGTGAAACGTCATATCTAAATTTATTTTAATTGGCACCTTAGAGATTTTGACCCAAAACTTCTTTTGACCCAAAACCGAGTCAAGTTTGAACTGGTGTTGACCTGAACTCGATTTAACCCTAAAAATATTGAATATGCACCCAACCTGAGAACGACCTACATCAATATTTAAAGATAATTTTCATAATATCTCTATATTTTTCAACTATTTCATAGTTTATCAAATAATAATATAAGAATTTTATTTGCATCCAATCAAAAATAAATTAGTTCCCAACAATTAAAGCTATAACATATTAAAACATGTACATTAAGTAATAGCATCATTCATACTAAGCCCCCATAAGTGTAGATTCAAGATTATCCTTTCTCTCAGTTCATACCAAAACATAAAAGACACAACAATCACTTTCAAGGTCAGATTAACGTGGCACAACCTCATCAGTCAAAGCCTCTAAAGGAGCGACCACCACAATCCCAGAGGCCCATCACGCCGAAAACGAGACTCGATAAGATTCTAGATCAAGAGCTTCTCAATTGCATCCTGCATTCCACAATTGAACAAAACATGAGATGCAGGAGCAGATTCAGCCACAAAAGGTGCAAAATATAACATGCTGTACTAGAAGGCAAAGTAAGTACCTTGAGTTGTTGTATTTGGGATTTCAATTGGCTTCCTTCGTTCGTTGTGACGGAACACGCGATTACAGGTCTTGTGACCCCGCATGCTCGTCCAAGAGCTTGCTTTGAAGGAACAAAAACGTAGGGCACATTCTGCAAAAGCAGCATTGCTATTGTTATCAAAATCCAGGCAATGAATCAAGGTGTGAACTTTACATTGAGGAATCAAGAAGATGTATAACTGGAATGTTTCCGAGCTCAAGAAACAGAGTGTATAACCAAAAGAAAAAGTACAGTAGAATCATATGCTCCAAATTCAGGGATGGACAGAGATGGAAATTTTAAATTCACACATAGTTTAAGCATATTATTTGTAACTTTTATCAATGATCTAATGTCGCACCTCTAGCATAAAATCTTTTGTCCATCCTGCCTAAATTCATAGCTAGCGAGGACATCATATACAACATTAACACATTAAACTTGTAGCAGGGAACATCATATACAACATTAAACTTGTAGCAAGGAACATCATATACAACAACAACAAACACATCGACCATAAATACATATACCGCCGAGCAATTACTTCGACTAGCGTAAATACTCAAATATGAAGCATGAATTCAAGGAAAAAGACATAAAGCAATTACCTTATCTTCAGCAAGCAAAGGAAGATGGAGCAGAATCTCAAGGGGCTCGGTATCGGCAGCCATCACAACGAACTCGGAGATACCTCTGTTCAGGGTCTTGGTAGCTGAATCCCAAACAAACACAATTAAAAAGAAAAGAAAAATAAAAGATAACAATGATTGCAAAAAATATAGAAATGATTATTGTTTCAAAACCTTCATTAGCTCCCTTTTTGAGCTGCTTGTAGTTGGCAGCTTGTTGAACGAGATCTAAAATCGTTGTTGTCAACTGAGCATCCGCAAGCGGGTATGCTTTGGGGTTCACTGCTTCTCCGGTCTGCAAAAGTATCAGCCAATTGTAAGTTAAAATGAAAAGATAAGACTACTTCCGCTTAACAAATAAAAAGATTCATTACCATTTTTTTTCTCTATGGGAAAACAGAGGAGGAAGACAAGTAACTAGCGTTTTTGTTCGATACAATAAAAGGGGCGCTAGGGTTTATTTGAGAAATATCGCAGATCGCTTATTTATAGATATTGCAACTCGGATCGGGTCCAACAGCTATAGGCCTGAATTATTAATTGGGTAAACCACCCATTTAGGAACTAAACTATCAATTTTGATCCGTTTTAGTACCTAAACTTATATTTTTTTCCAAAATCATACCTACCGTTTAATTTTTGTTTCATTTTAATACCCGCCGTTAAAAACTTAATGGACTGGCTGACAGTGCATAGCTCCAGTGGATAGACGACCAATCCAAACGGTGGATCTCGAGAGAATGACGAGTCGACCAACATAGTTCAGTTTCAGGCCCATAAGACGATTAATGAATGAGATTAGAGGATTTAGAAGTTGAAGATTCCATCATTGATTTAGTGAGATTGAGACATTTTTTGGTGAAACAGAGGCATGAATCATGTTCAGGGGGTCAAAAAAGGTACGAGTTGGAATGTGTCGATCTACGAGCCTGTCCGTTAAATTTTTAACGACGGAGTACTAAAATGAAACAAAAATAAACATTAGGTATGGTTTCGAAAAAATAAAAAAATCTATGAATTAAAATAGACCAAAATTGATAATTTAGGTACTAAACAGATAATTTACCCTTATTAATTAATAAATGTATTTAGCACTTAAATTTTAAATTTAATTCATAATTAAAACAAAAACTTGAGTGAATGGGGTTGACTCAAGTGATTATCAGCTTGATATCACTTAAGCAATATCTCATGTTTGAGTCCTTGTGTATGCATAAAATCTCGGTTGAGAGACTCTCAACGGGGATTTTATGCACTTATAAGGACTTGAAATCGAGACATACTTAAGTAGAATCAAACTACTTACCACTTGAATTAACTCGTTTATTGTTTTGGGGTCTTTTCTTTACTCTTATTTGTCAAAAAAAAAATAAGGCAAAGGCTAATGGTTATGAATATTTTGTTCATATGCTTTTATATGTTGAAATGTAATATATTCTAATAACTGAATTTTTATGACAGAAAATTTAACCAATCAAATTTTTATTAGTATTGATCGTTATTTTTATTGATATAATTAATTAATTCTTGTTGTATAGACTCAATTATTTTCAAAAACAAAAGTTTAAGTATGATTTTGGAAAAATTAAAAATTTAGATACTAAAACGAATTAAAATTGATAGTTTAATTACTATATATGTAATTTAGCTTAATATTTTTAATATAGGGTTGATACACTAAAAAATGTGTTCGAGTAATGACAATAGATTCAAACGAACAAAAACAATGACATATTTAATCAAACACGTTGGAAATATTTTTTTAAATATTTTAGCGTTTTTCAATATCAACGTAACATTACAAAAGCATTCGTAACGTAAAATATAGTTATTTTTATAAAATATTATGTTGTAACACCCATAACCTCCATAACTACAATATCATAATCGTAATTGTAATTTAATACTATGCTATCGGCTTAAATTTCTGCAACAAATCACAATGCGGTGAGTGTTCAATAAACCCCATCTGATGTCGCCGCAGCTCAACCCTACAATTCTGCGCCACAACAGAATAATAATTGCTCTCCACACTCTCCTCTGTTAAAATCAATTAATCTTGCATGCATAAGCAATTAACACATAAGGATCTTGATATGCTAATTAAATCAACCAAATAAAGCTCATGACATAATTATTAAGAATTACAATAAAAGAAATGAAAACTTACTTGATGATTCCATTATGATAGTTGAATATCCCAAAAGCAAGAAATAATAAATGTTATACAATCTCAATATTGTATAATCCTCAATTCGCCTTGTGATGATATTAAGACTTGTTTGATTCTTGATGAGAGAATAAGAACCCCAAAGCAGAGAGTGTTCTTGTTTTCTTTAAGAGAAAAAAAGAAAGAGCCTTGAGAAAGGGAAAAATGTATGATACGTGAGATTTTAAAAAATTGATTCCACTATATTTTTTAAATCACGAAATACCTTCTCAAATCTACACTAATCATCACTGTGTGTACAACAACAACAACAATTATCACTGTGTGTACAACAACAACAATTATCAATTACTTAAATTATATGAATCAATATTAGAAATCAAAATTTCTAACATTCCCCCACTTGATTCATATATGATAAGTATATAACATATTAACATAATTTGAGTTCACTTAAATAATGTAATATACAAGTCACACCTTCGTAAGAACTAAACCGACTAAATCATGGCAGTCACGGGCCTGGAAAACGTCCTGATTCCTTCCATGTATTACAGGTCAATCAAATTCAAACAAACACAATTTAATAAGATAGACACCCGAAAATATCTTATCCGACAATGTCTTAAAATAAGATCCAATATCTATAATCATAACAAAATATGCATAACTGAAATATGATTCATAGATAAGCAAAATCCGACAAACATCGATCTCTAGAGTATCAAACAAACATAAATGTGCAAGACATATATTCATACATGTATGACTAAGCAGCCGCTATACAAGGACTTCGCAACTACTCCCATTTCACTAACACGACCAATAAATGTATTAAGAGCTAGTCCTTCAGTCAACAGATCCACAATCATATCATTGGAGCCAATATGCACTATTTGAACTATTTGATTTTGCACTTCTTCTTTGATAGATAGATAAATACTTTTAAATCCATATGTTTGGCACCCTTGGAGTATCTATCATTCTTAGAGAATAATACAACTGTCGCATTATCACAATAAATCCTCATCAATTTAGCAATTGTACCAATGATGCCTAAACCATCAACAAAACTGCGCAGCCATAATGATTGAACTGTAACTTCGAAGCATGCTACAAATTTAGCCTCCTTAGTGGAAGTAGCAATGACAAACTGCTTACCACTCTTCCATGAGACAACTATCCTTCCGGGTATCCGAACATCCGGTATAGTCGAGTCCGAGTAACCAACAACCTCAAGGTTACTAGTTCTTCTTATGAGAGCATGTAATCCTTATACCTTGCAAGTACTTAAAACTCTCTTTGCAGCTCTCCAATGAATTAATCCATTATTTGATTAATAACGATCTAACATACCGACCACAAAGTTTATATCCGACCAAGTACATGTCTGAGCATACACCAAACTTCCAACTAAAAAAGAATAAGGGATATTATCCATTTCTTTGCACTCCATGTCGTTCTTGGGACATTGAGACAGACTAAAATTGGCTCCTTTCTGGATGGGAACTGGACTAGGTGTACATGACTCCATCTTAAATCTTTCTAGAACTTTGTTGATGTAAGACTTTTGAGATAATCCCAAAATTTTTTGTAATATATCCTGAAATATTTCTATTCTTATCACATAGGAAGCCTCACCCATATCCTTAATCTCAAAGTTGCTAGAAATGTAGCCCTTAACATCATGCAATGACCCATGATCACAAGTGACAAGAAGAATATCATCTACATACAACACAAGGATTATAAACTTGCTTCCCACAACCTTCATATAGATACATTGGCCAACGATCATTTCTACAAAGCCATATGATAATATAGTATCATTAAATTTCAAGTATCATTGTCGAGAAGCTTGTTTTAATTCATAGATTGATTTCTTCAACCTACATATCAGGTTTTTTTCACTTGTGGTCTCAAAACCTTGAGGTTGATCCATATATACCTCTTTTTCCAAATCTCCATTGAGAAATGATGTTTTAACATCCATTTAGTGAAGCTCAAGAACAAAATAAGCCACTAAAGCCATTACAATCCTTAAAGAGTCATTTCTAGAAACCAGAGAGAAAGTCTCTTTATAGTCAATGTTATCATTTTAAGTGTAACCTTTGGCAACAAGTCTGGCTTTATACCTCTCAAAATTTCCCTTAGAGTCTCGCTTGGTCTTAAAGACCCACTTATTCGATTCTTTTAGAGTCCTTTGGCAATTACGTCATTTCCCAAACAATGTTATTATCCATATATTTCAACTCTTCCTTCATTGCCATCAACCACTTGTTAGAATTTTCACTGTTCATGGCTTGGTCCAAAAAGATTGGGTCATTATCAATGCTCAAGTCACTTTGATGCAAGTGCATAAACTATATACTCATTTGAAATAATTGATCTTTTATCTCTAGTAGACCTCCTTAATGTTATTTCTTATTAGGTTGTACTTGCTCATTAACTTGAGCATTTTCCTCATTTTTTTGAACAATGACATCCATAATTGGATTTGGAGCATCCATTTGTTGTTGTTCTATATTCATGCTTTGTGGACGTGCTACAATAATAGAAACACCAATTTGAGATTGATCGTGATGGGTTTTGGTCTATCAATGACTCTTTTTCTCTACATTACGAGCTCTCATACTCCCACAGACTTTTTTATTTTCGTATCTGAAAATGAATCACTTTCGTTTCTTACTTGGAGTTTTGCCTCCATGATAACCAGTGTTTGAATTACCACAATAGGCAAAGTTGGCTTGGGGAAGTTTGACCTTAAGGTCTTCCTTTTACCTTGTCTCCTCTTGCAAGAGCATGACCTTAGTATCCGAAAGAGACCATTTTTCATTAAGTTGGTTGTATGTTCTCCGAAATTGCTTGAAATCATCACCCTTACATGATTTCAGCATGAACTCAACCAACACTCTCTCACCAAGATCCATATCCAAACTTTTAAGCCGGTTATAGGTATTCACCATGTGGTAATGTTTCTTCCATTGACTGAGTTAGAGTGTACTTTCTATTAGATAAATTATCAATAAGAGCAACAACAACAAATTATCCACAATGTCTTTCATAGTACACTTCTTAATTTCAGCAACAAATTCCCTCACATTCTCAGTTTTGGGTTGGGAGGCCTTAATTATAGGAACTATACTAAGCTTAAGAAATCTCATCATAAGCTTGTTCGATCTCTCCAGTTCTCCCATAATTTCTTGTCTGTCTCCGGACTAGTATCGGTCGATTTAGTGGGCTCATCCATAACTAGAGTAAATCGAGTCTCAAAATGCCAACATTTAGCTTGAAATATTCGA